GGCCAAAGGGATATTCCATACTATAGAACATCATGCTCAGTATATAAACTGTGGGGAGTTGGCTGGGAGAGGCCAATCATTGCTCGGGGTGGGGCTGGGCATGAGTCGGTGGGTGGTGAGCAGTTGTATTGTGCAGCACTTAGAATCATAGAATCATAGAATCGATTGGGTTGGAAAAGACCTCCGAGATCATCGAGTCCAACCCTTGGTCCAAATCCAGTCCATTTACTAGATCATGGCACTCAGTGCCACGTCCAATCTGCGTTTAAAAATCTCCAGGGATGGTGAATCCACCACCTCTCTGGGCAGCCCATTCCAATGCCTGATTACTCTCTCTGTAAAGAATTTTCTCCTGATATCCAACTTAAATTTCCCCTGGCGGAGCTTAAGCCCGTGCCCCCTTGTCCTATTGCTGAGTGCCTGAGAGAAGAGACCAACCCCCACCTGGCTAGAACTTCCCTTCAGGTAGTTATAGACTTGTTTCTCTTGAATTTTATTCCTTTTTCTCTTTTTGTTATCCCCATTTTCATTACTATGATTCTGTGATGATAATTATTATTCTTATTATATTTTACTTTATTTCAATTATTAAACTGTTCTTATCTCAACCCACGGGTTTTACCTTTTTCAGATTCTCTGCCCCATCCCATGGCAGGGGCGAGCAGCTGTGCAGTACTTAGTTGCTAACTGGGGTTAAACCACGACACCATATTAGTCAAACACTGAATCAGATAAATTAAGTTATTGTGGGGCTAAACAATCTTCGGAGTTGATATTATGCTTTATCCTTTCAATCTTGCTGCACGTGTTGCTTATTGAGCTTACCACACACAATGATTTATGTGTGTAGTGGTTTGAGCAGCATGGTGAACATGAGGAACATAGCAGTTGTTATTCAAACTGTGAGAAAGTTTGGCACAAAGGGTTAATTCTTCCCAGTCTTCCAGACCAGCAGAATCTCTTGGAATCTGGCCTCTCACCTCCAAGTGCCTCAGGTTTCCCTCCACAAATGCCCATTTTTCTTCAGCTTACATGATCTACAAGATCTGTAGGCAAAAAGGCTTGCTACCATACCAGTTTGCAATATAGATGGTATCTTACTGTTCATATGCAAAAAGCATACCCTACTGCTTGCTCTTCTTTCACAGCATAACTATTATTTCCCAACAGCGACATAATGTTTCTTCTGAAATGCCATTTATTGATTTTTTTAAAGTGTACATTTTAAAATGAAATAATTTGGCTTGCATTTTGCGATGAGAGAAGGCAGATGTATAAATGATATTTTAGTCAAAATCACAGCTCCTGAAGTATTATTTACTCTGAGCTTTGAGATACACTTTTTCTTGAAGAAACCAAGCTACTATGTATTTTCTTCTTAAAATACTTGGTATTTGGATTTCACTGCCAGTTGGAATTAAGTATTAGAGATTTTTATTGTTGTTATAGAGCTGAATTATTATAATGATAATAATTATTGAATATTTCAGCATACATCCTGTACTTAATCCATTTAACACACACTAAAGGATCCTGGATTGCAGTACCAAGAACAAGTTGGTAATTGTTTTAATCTGAAAGATGAAGAAGGTTCAAGGTAAAGAGAATTCAATTAATAAAGGCAAACCTTGATAAAAAGATACAGACTTCTTTTTTTGCTTTATATCACCATAATAAATCACCTTCTTAGAAAATACAGTTGAATGTCATGTGTATTGCTAGTAGAGAACATAAACCTACAAGTTCTTGAAAACTTTCCATCTGCTTATGCCCTCAGGTTGGTTTCCTTCTTTTTTTGTGCTTGAGTCCTGTTTTTCTTCATTACCCTCCATGGCTGCCCAGGACCACTTCCAGAGATGCGTGTGCCAAGCCAGAGAAAGCATTTGCCAAAGCTGGCTTCATGAATGGTAGCAAGCAATGCCAGTTCAGCAAGTTTTAAAAGAAAGACTCCCCTCTCTGTGCAACAGTAGAGACACGAGTGTGTAGGAGCACACAGAACAGGTCCTGTTCGTCCCGTCACGAGCTACACCCTGTCTCTGGCAGGGCTGTTGCCATCACGCCTCTAGTCATGACCAATTATACTACAAATTCAGCAAGCTCCACCATAGACATGCACAATGGGTCTCTCTGCGAGCCTCTGAAGCCAGCAAACCAACCTGTGGCAATGAATTTGCCATATACAATATGGAAAAAGTCCGGCCAGAAATGGACTGGTGAGGAAAACAACTCAAACCCTATGGAAACAGAAGCTTTTACTGTAGTTTAAACATGTCTCAACATGTTTGTGTATTTTCTGCAGTGTCACTGTATCCCTCTCCCAAACACCCCCTGTGAAGCTATTGTCTCCCATACAAGGTGTCCTGGGAAGGTCCCGAGGCGTCCCATTGGTCCTTTGTTTAACCCCTTCCTATTGGCTGTTGACCCCTTACCTGATGGTTTCTTTTGTGTGACCCTGAACTTGTGATTGGTCCCCTTTGACCTTCCTAAAAGCCTTATAAACCCCAACCCCACAATAAACTTCCTCTTTCGTCCGTCCCTCCCAGGTGGTCTGTGTGTGCTCCTTGCGGGGTCACCGGGCCACGTGCGGGGGTGGGGGGAAGGGCATTCACCTCGCAGGCAATGGGGCTGGAAGCATAAGGCCTGGAGGTCTCCCCCTATCCCTCAATTCGCCGTACCAACCAAAGAGCTAAACTTGGATGAGGTGAATTCCACTCTGATACTTCAGAGCTGAAATAAGAGAATCAGTCTAGACACTGAAAACTTGGTTGTTCTGTTCTGGTTTGTTTCAAATTGCAAAATAGATTTTTTCAATAAGTTTTATATATCTTTTTTTAAAACAGCATTTTCACTGCAAAAAAAAGCTGCCAGTATAGGACATTTCATCTCTAATTCACACATCTCTGTAGGTATTCCAGCATTCTTACAGTGTCAGCAGAGAATTAATCCTGGTTTTTCATGCCCTTTAAATTGTGGAAATTATGAGAATCTTAGAGTAAAGAGAAATCAGATTTACAGCCTGTACCATCTCAAACTTTGTGCATGTATGCACAGACACATATACCATTAACACAGAGAAGATCAGGACATGTTCTATTAAAACCTACAGAATTCACATTTGTTTTTAGCAGAGTGTGAATCTGGCCTGTGCAAAGCAACCCTATGTGACAAAGGCCTATAAAGTCAGTCTCTAAAAGTAGATAATCTTGAGTCAATGCTGGAACTTTATTCTTCTTTCCTGTCCTTGCATACGTCTTAGATGAATGCTCATAATCCCATTCTCTGGCAAATTCTTGCAAAAAAGAGGTGTTTCTATTCTAGCCTTATGACTCATGCCTGCCCTTCCCAGGCCAGAAAGAAATACAGGAGCTGATCTACAGTCCATTGACTTCAATGGATCTTGATCCAGGGGCACAAATCATGTTTTTACATAACAATTAAAACATTAACTTGTTAGGGCAGGCTCTAACTCAGTGAAACTTTCTCGTAGTGAATAACTTCTTCTTCCTCTGTAAGAAAGACACTAAAAAAAACGGGAAAGAGATTCAGACTTCTTTTATTCTGAATGTTTTTGAACATGAAATATAGCGATGAATTCCCATATAACACATGATCAAAGCCTTGTGACTTTTTCCCTAGCCTGTTGGCAACAAGCCATGTAAATTATAAAATAGACCCAGGTACAGGAAATCAAACAATGAGATATTCAGAGCTCACAGTAAAATATCCCCATTAAGATAATGTACTTAAATGAGCTACATTGCAGCATTCAATTGCATCTCTACACTTCAATGTAGCTACTTCTGCATACAGTTTAGTTCACCAGTGCCACAGGAAATTTTCACTGGAAAATTATCTTTAGGAAATGTCCATCGTCTTCTTGTTGTCACTTTCTTCCTTTCTCATTTTCTTAATTCTACCAACTTGCTCTCTCATTTTTGATACCTCATGCCTTCATTCCCTTGTTTCCTCAGACTTTTAATGTCTCTTCCAGTTTAGACAGATGAATACTCCACTGCTTTTACCAATTGGATATTTTTGTAGTGAGCATGGGATTTTTTTAATACCTCAAGGTTCCTGCTCTGTACTGATATGAGGCACACCCACATTTTCAGGACTCTACAGTCATGCCATACAAAATATTAGTTCAAACTTGATAAAAGAAGACCATGGCTGTGGCATTTATTTTGTTCTAACATTATGTTTTAATCAAAGGGCTAGTCTCTCAGCTGGGAGTTTTAATCAGTCAAGGCAATGCATGACCCACCCAACATCTTTGTACTCACTTACTTTGTATTCAAATAAAAAAAAGAAATAAGAGTTTAAATTTTTGACCACTTTATTTATTGTGCGTTTTTTTTCCAAAACTAAATTGTGCAAATCCTTACATGGCATGTTGGATGTGGACATTACCAATTTCATTTCAGAATAAGACAGCAATGTAAAGATCACAAACAGTAAAATTGTTCAGGCTTGGAAATACTATTAAATTTCACTTACTGTGTTAATGTTGTAAAATGAAGGTGTCCCTGTGCCCCACACTGTTAGAGCAGCAAATGCATTTTCAGAATTATACCCATATTCTAATACAATTTAGGAGAAAGCTGATAGCGAAAAGCCCTGAGAAGTGTTCTCCTTTCTCACTTTGCCATGTCCAAAGTATTCCGTAAGTACAGGAAAAATGAAGCCCTGTGAGTTTAGCTTGCACAACACTTAATTGGATTCAGTCACCACTATAGCAACAGTCACGGACAGAGCTGAAACCGCGCTCTTAGCTAATCTTCCCATTGTAACAAAGTCTATAATGAGTAGGTAGGCAGGTTTCATGTTGTATGTCACAAATACACAAGCCCAAGTACGGCATAAAGCTGGATGTTTCTATGGGAATTTGATTTGAAAGCAAAACCAGTCCCTAAAGAAAGCCTGTTAGGAAGAAACCCTGAGAAAACACTTAAGAGCCACAGTCTTTTCCCTTTGCCAAAAAAGCTGTTAAGAAAGCCTGTGAATAGGAAGAAACCCTGAGAAAACACTTTAGAGCTACAGTCTTTTCCCTTTGCCAAAAAAGCTGTTAAGAAATACTGCCTCAAAATCAAAATTTGTGCTGAATGAGCAAAGAAGTGGTCAAAGAAAAAAGCAGATCCTCTACCCTCTTGATGCTCACACACTCACATACACACTGTGCAGGCTCCTCACTCTCGCAAGACTGATGGATTCCTGACTATAAATGTCAAGTAAAGTTCCTCATGGTAACCCTGTCTGCTCTCCATGCTGACAGACTGCACGAGTTCAGAAAGTTGCACTTTACCCCTCTTTGTACCACAATGAGCAAGTCTGTCCATTAAAACAATAACTCTCTTTACTTAGTGAATTTAAACCCCTTGTCATAACTTCAATGTGATTTTGGTATGATTGCATATGCAAGAAAGCAAAAAAACCAACAAACGAGGCCAACTTCTGAACCCTGGGTCCCTGAAACCTCTGGGAATTTTGCTTAAGCAAGGAGTTCAGAATTTGGCCCCAATGAAAGCTTTAGCAGCAGCAGCACAGGCTGTCCTCAGCACCACTAGTCAAACCAGTGATCTCCCATGCAGGTTCTGTTCCACTCCAGGCCACAGTTCCAGCACCACTCAAATCTGCACTGAGGGCGAGGACATTTCATGTGCATGCAGCCACCTGCAAAATAGCAATGGAATGGATTTAGTACTTGGCAAACACTTAGAGATGTTAATCAACAATTAAGAGCGTTAAAATCAACTTTCTTAGGCATTCATTTACCAACTAAGTAAAATATTTTATAAAAGAAAAGTACAAACCTGAAGGATATTTCCCTGGGCTACTAAAATCTGCTACTCCCTGTAATATGCTGGTCTTACCTTAGGGACTGCAGGAGTAGGAGGAAATTAGAAAAGGCTGTGCTAGGGATAGGGAAAAGAATGAGTCAATGGCCTCTCAAAGCAGTCATGGAGGCGTCTCCTCAAGGTTACTCTATGCTAGTCCAGCTGTGAGCCAGAAAATAAACAAAATTAAATTTTTTTTTATTTGTATTCAACAACTGCAAGATTTGCAGAGAGTAAATCAGAAGACACAGACTTTAGTGGCTGACTGCTGATTATATAAAAATGACATTAGGAATTTAGGTTGATTTGACCTTTTTAGTATCTGAAGCAGCCTTTTGATCACATCAGTGTTTCCTGTGTGTTGGGCTTCTTACTTGCCCATACCATGAGAGCAGTTTTAATCTCTCTGCTCACAACCTTGATCAAAAGTTTATTTTGTAATATATAAAACATTAACATTGTCAAAGGTCATTACAGAAATACATTTCAAATGGAAATTACGTTGCTTACCACACAAAGAGATCTTTTGCATAATTCAAACTGAGAGAAAAGTATGCACTATGAAGAAATGCTGAAATGTCATCTTGGTTTTACTCCAAATGGTGATGGGAGGTACAGGGAGTGTGTATTCCCTACTGTACAAACTGCTACCCTCACACCACCTTTTTTATAAATGCCACTCCAGAATGTTTCTCAGAAGGCAAAAACTGCAGGACACACAAGAACTGGTTTGTTAAAATAGGCCTGTCTACTTCATCTGACAGAGAGAGAAAATTGTTGTGATAGCAAGGTCTATTCATTAGTTTATATCTTTGTGCAAGAAATGCAATGCACCAGAAAATTTTTTATCTTATTTAAATGTAAACATACCAGTGGCCAGCCTCCATGTTTCAGTTTATTTAAATTTTAGACCCAGTCCTCTCTTACAATTTGTATTAGGCCATCACTGAGTAAAACTCAGTCCTGGCACAGGACTCAATCCCCAATAGACACCCTCTATCAAACGTGGGTCCTACCTTCTAAGCTAGATACATCATGTTATTCTCTGCTACATGGCATCTGAGATCAGCAGTCAGAGTGGAGAGTGTCTCAAGCAATGTCACCTAGAGCTCTGTGAGTACAGCAGTCCTCTAAGAGACATGGATGTGTGTTTAAACTCACTCAGACCGGGAACTCAGCTGTAGGAAAGTGTTTCTCTCTTTCACTTCAGCTCTTATAGGAAAGTTATTTACATCCAGAAACGTTCTGGAATGCCTATAGTTTACACAGAGTATTACAGAAAAGTTATTGGCATTGCCACTATCCCTTGTAAAAGACAGTGTCCACAGATGCATTTGGGGAAGGAAAGCACAATTATTCTCCTGTGTGGAGTCAGTGTACTCCTTCCAAATGAAGACTGTTGGCAGAGTTCAGTGTAGAGTTGTCAGGTTCTTGACAGCAGCCGTACTTAGGCAGCTCTGAAGTGCTTCACTCAGTTTACAAATGGCAGCCTACAAGGTGGCACATGCAGTAACCATGACCAAAGAAGAAAGCAAGCACTGCACTTTTTAAGCTTCATGCATTAATTTGCAGAATGACAGAATCACTGAGGTGGGAAGGTCCCTTTAGAGAACATCCAGTCCAAACCTCACTGCTCAAAGCAGGGTCATACTGAAGTAGGGTGCTCAGGTTGCGTCCAGTTGGGTTTTGAATGTATCCTAGAATGGAAACTCTTTCTGGGCAACCTGTTCCAGTCTTCAGCTGCCCACACAGTAAAAGGATGTTCTTGTGTTTAAACGCAATTTCCTGTGTTTCAATTTGTGTGCATTGCTGCCTGTCCTTTCAGTGGGTACTGAGAATAATTTGCCTCTCTTTTCTTTGTTTCTCCTATCACGTATTTATTTATACAGTCCTTTTTTCATCTTTTCATTGAAATCACAGATTCATGGAATAGGTAAAGTTGGAAGGGACCACAGTGGGGATCCAACCTTGCTGCTCAATCAGGGTCATCCTAGAGCACATTGTGCAAGATTGTGTCCAGACAGTTCTTCCGTATCTCCAGTGAGGGGGACTCCACAACCTTTCTGGGCAATCTGTTCCAGTGATTGGTCACTCACACAGTAAAGATCATCCTCATGTTCAGGTGGAACTTCCTGTGCATCAGTTTCTGCTCATTGCCTCTTCTCCTAGGCACCACTGAGAAGAGCCTGGCTCCATGCTCTTGACATTCTCCTTTAGACACTTAGAGACATTGATGAGGTTCCCCTCTCAGTTGTCTTTTCTTGAGGCTGAATAGGCCCAGCTCCCTCAGCCTCAGAGAGATGCTCCAGTCCTTTTTCCATCTTCACAGCCTCCATTGGACCCACTCCATGAGCTCCATGTCTCTCTTGTATTGAGGAGCCCAGAACTGGACACAGTACTCCAGATGTGGCCTCACTAGGGATGAGTAGAGGGCTTGACCTGTTGGCAATGCTCTTCCTAATGCACCCCAGGATACCATTGGCCTTCTTGACCACAAGGACACACTTCTGGCTCATGGACAGCTTGTTGTTGACCTCCAGGTCCTTCTCTGCAGTGCTGCTTTCCAGTAGGTCAGCCAACAGGCTGTACTAGTGCATGGGGTTATTCTTCCCCAGGTGCACGACCCTGCATTTGCCTTTGTTGAATTTCAGAAGGTTCCTCTCTGCCCATCTCTGCAGCACAATCAGCCAATTACAGTGTGTCAAACATTTCTAGCCTACTACCATGGTTTTGGCATTTAGTATTATGAGGCACTGTTCTGACCTGGGTCAGGCTATAAGCAAGGAAAAGTCTTTTTCTGCTTATTATCCATTTTCAATAAATGTTTTCATTCAAAGGTAAAAAGTAGAACTGCCTTTTTGATAAAATGGGGATTTTTACAAGCAACGTCCCTAAACTTTTGTGGGAGTTGTGTAAATGGTATCAAACAGGAATATCCTGTTTGTGACAAATGTTAACTGCCTATAATTTAACAGTAAAGATTCTGTAGCCCAGCCTAAGAGAAAGTAAAGGTCCTACCACTCCTTCAACCTGACCAGAAGGTTTCTTTTCATTTGGCTGTGCACACAAACTGTTAAATATTATCATCTCTCTATTTCTAATGCAGTTAAAACTTCTGTTTTCAGCCTTGTTTTACAAGTCTGTAAATAAGATTTTTGACCAAGCCCTCTGTTATCTCTTGTCTGCTGCCCACCTTGCTCTCTACATGATGCCAAACCTTGTCTCGCCTTCCCACTCTTGAATTCTTGGTTTTTTCCCTTCTGTTTCTTGTGTTAGAAAGTGTCTCCCACTTTCTATCTGCCAACTGCCTTCTTTTCTTTCATCAAACCCCAGATTTCAGGTTTTTGTCCTATTTCTTCCTCAGTAATACTTCTGCAGTATCACTGCTTGAAGTGTTCTCTTCTTGCAGTTCACAGTGTCTTATTTGGTGTTTTCAGTGTTCCATGTGAATAAGCGATGCCACAAAACTGAGAAGCATCCTCTAAATACTTCTATAATATTTAGGCAATAAATTTAATATATTTCTATTAATTAATTAATATAAATACCATTAAATCTTGGAATAGCATTAACGCATAATGTACAGCCTATTTACCATCCCTGTTCCCCATTTTAACCATCCCAGTGCCAGCAGATTACTTTGCTTCCTACACAGTAAACATCGATTAGTGCAAACTGTCAGGATTCATGTTGTTTCCTTTAATTTGCACTTCTACTATGGGCATGTGACTGGGTTGAGATAAATCTCATCTAAATTCAGCCATATATTGTGTAGACATCTACAGCAGGACTCATTCTCCACATCCCACTTTTAGGTGTGATTCTTCTGTCCTACATTAGACATATGTTCTGCTTCATTGTGATATAAGTTTTACCCTACAAATGTCTATTTTTCCCAGTGACAATAGTAAATCTAGACAACTAGCTGGATATCCAGTCATATGAATGCTACATCCAGTGCCTCATTTTCCCTACCTACAAAACAGCCAGGCATTTTGTGAAGCTTGATTGGTGGTTTTAGAACTAAGTGATTTAGAGTTAATGTTTTCAAGATAATTTAGATAAAGTGACAGGCAATTATTCAAGCTTTGTGTGCTCTCCCTATCTTGGAATAATACTATGAATATGTACGCATGCACATTTATACATTTATTTGGTAAAATGAATTTTAAAAGACAGTTAAATATAAGATATATAATAAATTTACCATTTTTTTCTACTGGAATATTGCAGTTGGGGCATGGCTTGGTTGTCTTCTTGATTGTGTCTCTAGATGCTTCTTCCCATCGAGCTTGCATGGCTGCATGTTCATCAACTACATACCCCTGCAAAGAGAGAGCAAAATCACGTGTGGGCACAATCTTGAAAGGCTGCGCTGGGACATGATGTCTACACTGAAGTGAGAACCATTTACCTGCAAGAAACAGACAGGCCAGGTAGGCTGGACTTTGTGAGAGATGCAGAAGTTCTGCTTCAAAATGCAGACTGTTTTCTCCCAGTGTGCACAACACATGTATTGAGTTAGATCCTGAATTGCAGGATGATGGGGGTAGCAGCAGCAGTGGAAGCATGTGCCTTCCTGGAGATTCTTCCTAAATCCAGCAGCAGCACAGGCTGTGTCCTCCCTGCTGCTCCCTGCCCTGAGTGGCAGGCAAAGCCCCAGCAGGAGGACATGGGGGCATCAGCCGTGCTGCAAATGCACAAAGACAGGTAAAGCAGAAGGCAAGGCGAAGCAGCAGTCAGGTGAATCCAGCTGAGACATGACATGTTAGACACCGTAGGCTTGATTCTGCTTCAGGGATTAAAGCCCGTCCAAGAAAACAAAAACCACCAAGGCAATGCAACACTTGATAATGCATAATGGTGGGGTGTCTGGAAGGAGACTGTTTTTCATAATAAAGCATACGCCTTTGTGTCAGAGGTCTGGGTTTCATTCCAACATAAATCTATGTAAATTTAAGAGGCACGAAGAAGGAACAGAAAAATTTTAGAGAAAAAGTAAAAGAAACCACCCGTGAGCAATGAAAGCTATCAGCTCCCCAGACAGAATTACATAGATGAAAAAAGTCATCATGAAGAGTGTAAAAGGGGCTCCTGTGTTTGTCCTATTTATGACTGGGACAAAATTACATAATCTACACAAGTGGCCTATTTGGCAGTTTCCTACCTAAAATGATGGTACAAGGACAAAAGAGATGGCAGTGCCTTGAGTAATTTCTATCACAAAAGGTTGGCAACTATGTGAATAGTAGATGTAAATAATGTATGTAGGTTCCAGCCTTGAAACTCTGCTCTCTCCATTCGTAATGTGAGTTTTTTCAAGCATGTGGGAAAATGGTCATTTTAAACTCTTTAATTTCTAACAATTTCTGTAACTTCTTTGTGTATACCTTCAAAATACTTGTAGTCTGTCATGTGGATCTAAATATTAATTTAAATGGATAATTTTTTAATATATTTATTTTGAGTAAGACTAAAAAAAGGAAATTGGCTCAACTTTTAAAAATGCAACACAACCATAACTCCTCTTGATTTCTTGTCATCTACTATTGATAAAACCTGTAAATTGTTACAGTGTCAGTGAGTAAGACCTAGATTTTAATCTTGCCTGAAGTGGCCTGAGTTAAAATGGAATAAAAAAGAGCAGCATCTGCAGAAATTTGTTTCCAACTCATCTGGTGGCCATTGCAATATGCATTTAAAAACAAAACAAAACACAAAACAAAACAAGAAAAAAACCCCACAAGCTTCTTTTAATCAGGAAACCTCAAAATTGTGTATTTGGTATTATCTATTTTATTTTACTACCTATATCAGTCTCCTCAACCCATGAACTCCTTTTGTTACTTCTCACTTACTTTTCTCTATTTTGCCAATCTTTTTGATGTAGAGGTGACAAAAGTGTACAAAGTGACTTTTACTTTTGACTCTCTGCTTCTGGAAAGGGAACTCAGCCCTGCACCCTGCTGGATTATTCAGCAATTCGGCAGAAAGATGACCTCTATGCAACAGCACATAAGTAAGTTCTGGGGAATAGAAAAAGCTGCTCAGGCTAATAGCAAAGAACATAATCTAGTATTGATTTTGCAACACCTTGATCTTAAGGAAGGATGACTTTAGCAAGCAATCTGAGCTAGCTCAGAGAGGCCTGAACAGAAGGTGGGGAAAAAAGGAAATGCTTGACCTGGGCCTCAGTTTGCCCAGTGACAGAAACAAGATGGTAGTAATTTAATCTCATTTTCGTGGGAATTCATTACTTAACATCCACGCAGATGATTCAAGATGAAAATCACTATAGCAGTGATAAAACCCTGCTATTCTTTTCAGAATAGCCAAATGGGAAGACCAGAGTATTTTTAATTTTTGTAGTCAGCTCAGAAGAGCTTCACAGTGGCTCTATTTTCTCAACTAGTCCAAATCCAGCCTTTTAATACTTGCAAACATATTTATTTCTTGTCTTCTTGTGTTTGTTGTGACCTAATAGCAAATGACACTGAGGCAAAATTTCACATATCAAATTGCTCATTTCATTTGAATAAACATTTTTAATCTCAGTTCTGAAAAAAAAATAAAACCTTGGGAGTGCTTAGGAATGTCTAAAAGAAACAACCTCTAACCACATATATGCAGTTCACCAAGAAAGAACAAATTGCTGAAAACAGTAGAGTGAATTAACATTTTAATATTTTCCATTGTGAAAATTCTAGCATGAACTAGCTGCAGCAGCATGATATTTTCAGCCCATTAGAGCTGAAACATTCCTCTTTTGCCCAGTCTTGCCGATTGCTAACTTAAAGACTTCTTGCTGCGGGAAGCAAATACAGAGAAATGGCACAGTGATGGAATCCCTCTGATTCAGTAAGGAAATCATACCATCCAGATCTATGAGCCTCCAGTGTTCATGTGCTTTATGTGCTCCACATACAATGGTGGCAAGCACTCATTTTTTCCTCAAACAATAGAAAAAAGGTGTATGGCAATTCTTTATTATCTATTTTATTATCTATTTATTATCTATTTATTATCTATCTTTCGTGTCTATTTAAATCATACTCTGCTAGTCCTAAGCTAGCAAACCTAATTTCCTTTGCAATGACCTAGGTAATAGAGCAGGTCTGTCAAGCAGAGGTGTCTCTCACTTTCCTTGTTTTGCCTGGTCTTGGGTAGGAAGTTCAGAGGTGCTCCAGGTGTGCATCACATCAGTTTGCTGATGACAGGAGACTTTGATCGCTTCTGTTGCTGACGCAACACAATATGCTCTAATTCTCCAATTACTACAAAATATTTGTCCCAGCCCTACTGAAAAGCTACTAGATTTCATCCATGCCACTTTATGAATAATTTTTTTGATTCTCAACTGTGCTGCATATTATGACCAGTAATGAATACTCACAAATAAGAGGAAGCTACAGCAAGAACTGTTGCAAGCATTATTCGACATCCCCTATGCAATATTCCCTTAGTGAGATGGGAGGAAAAGTCTGTCTTGTTATCTCTGGGTAAGAAGGATGTAGATTTACTTCTGTTTCTATGCTGAGTCTTTTGGAAAAACTAACAGGGATAAAGAGACCACAGAGACTGCTGAGGACCATACAGCAATACAACATGGAAAAGGAAAGCTTTTTATGCACTTAATCCATATCGTGCAGTACTGGAAAAAGATCTACAGGGACAGAAAGCATCTTGAAATAGAAATAAAGTGTCCTTCTTAAAGCAGCATCTCATTCAGGTAATAGAGCACACATCAACCTTTCAGTAGAACTACATAAAAGAAATGAACTATGTGTTCACAGACAGCAACTAAGCAGTACCATTTAAGTTAAAAAAATTTATGGCAAAATTTCTAGTTAAAAATACTGGAAGCATTAGATACATAATGTTAAATTCTGACATCCACCAAATTATATGCTGTCTTATGTTAGCATGCTTCTTTTATGATCATGCTTATTTTGCCCACTGTAGACAACATCTGAAGACTGAAGACCCTTGATTCAGAATAGAATATGAAGCTGTTAACCTTATGTTTTGCTTTGCTTTAGTGAATGTAATTTCTGCACTCCTGCTTGTTTGCTCTTGGGGCTTCATTCCTTTCTGATAAGAAAAGAAAGCTGGTCATGCATAACTTTAAAAAAATGCATCCTAGTGCAGCTTTCTTTAAAACAGAAATAAATTTGCTTTGGATCAGAAATGCTTGATTTAAAGCTAATTTTACTTGCAAAAATAAGCTTTTTATTTAACTTAATAGAAATATGTAAAATTACGACTTTATGTGAAATACAGATTTTTAAAAAGGTTTAGATGTCTCAAAACAGAAAGTATTACTCATTTTCTAACATGAATGTGAGAAAAGCTATGTATACTTGAAAGCATTTGAAAGGAAGACAAGAATAATTCATTGTACACAAAGCAATGTTCAGCCCACCATAATATTTAGGTTAACAGAGCCCACCAGAGCTAGAGCTGTAAGCAAAACCAGCCTTATCAGTTGAAGCTGTATCTACAAGGGGTGGTAACAGTCCAACTTAAATTTGTTTTGTCTTCTTAGCTTCTTCAGGGCTGTTTCATGAACATGATCATATGAGTTAACATCCTGCTGTGTTTACTGGTGTCTTCAGTTGTGGGGATAAAAATAGCAGATGTCTAGGGCAATAGATAAGTTAGAGGGATTTTGGAAGAAAATGTATTATTTGAGTCATTTAAGAGTCAAAATCTCACAAAGAGAGGCGTTGAAAGCTATGGGAGTAGTGCTCTAATTTAGAGAGATTTAGGCTAATCAAAACACTAAAATATGGCTATGGATAAGGACCGGAAAAGATATTAATTTCATGAGAATATGTTTCATGCACAGGAAAAATAGAGGTGTCAGTATAACAGTGATCCAGTTAAATCCACATAAAGCAGCTTTGTGTGAACCAATTTGTCTAGTGTGCCTAGGGAATTCTGCTATATAAAAAAAAAAGTGCTGCTTTGTGACGAACTAGTTAAAATTGAATTGATATAAACAGGATATTATGTCAGATACAGGATGAAAGAGACTTTCACTAAATAATATCAGAGTGCTCTGGTTTGGTGACACTGCACATCAAGGTTCTCACTGCATGTTGGGGCCATTCATATAATGAATTAAATTCAGGTAGATGGTGAATATTGAATTTACACTGCTCAAAAGGAGAAAATCTAATCTAATACAGGTCATTCTTATATAACTCTTTTCCATGAGTGGAATAAAGAATGTGCCTTCTCCAGTAAGTGGCAACACAGCTGAAAATGACTGTCAGCTTAACCTCATAAACAAAAGCAGTCTGTCACATCTTTTTTGCTTTAT